CAGATGGCTCAGGCCAGGTGAGCAGGGCCAGAGGCAGCAGGAAGGTTCAGTGTCTTGCCATCTATAGCAATACCTCTAGATTTAATTTCACATGTAATATCAAGACATGAAAATCTTGAACTGTAAAGGAGATGAAGAGTCAGAAATAAGAACTGATTATTTACAGCATGAAATGCTATTGTACTGTGAAACTAATTACTCTGATTTATAATGGTTTCCGAGATATTGTATCTTTGCAAGCATCCAAAGATAAAGGCATAGCCTTTAATATGTTAATATTTGCATAGTCAGTTTCTGTGTGCACAGCAGATCAAGTGGACTGTAGCCTTTTGAAGTGCTGTCACAGGCTTGTCTCTCTCACAGTGATGACAGATGAGCAGAAGGCACGAATCGCCACTAAGAGGCCCATGACCAAGGAAGAGTGGGACGCCAAGCAGAGTGTCATCCGCAGGGTTGTGGATCCGGAGACAGGCAGGACAAGGTACTGGACTGGTTCAGAGACATTCCCTCCAGACCCCTGGGTTGTTTCATGTGGCAGGAAAGCACTGCAGTATAATCACTTTCTCTTTCCGTTTGACCACTACATTTTTGCCAGAGAAGCTGCCTCCAGACCTGGCATTCTTCCTGTCAGCATCTCTCTGCCAGGAATTGACTTAATGGGGAGGAGTTTGTTTTCAAATCTTTAAATCAAGAGGTCATTCTCGCATCTTTCTGACATCACCACCCAGCTTCTATCAGACCTTGTTTTCTTCACTCCCTGTTCTCCCTCCTCTGTCGACCTGTCCATCTCTGTGCCCCTCGGCTCCTCCGCTCTCTCCCCCTCCTCCTTTCTCTAGAACCCCAGGTCTTGACCCCTTTCTCTCCCTTGTTCCCAGCCCATCTCCGCTCTTCTTACTGAGCGATAGCCATAGCTCTGACCCTTCCTCACCGACCTCTAGTCCAGGCCCTGGTGCTCTCCCGGAGAGATTGGTGCAGCTCTCCTCCTGCTCCCCCCCTCCCCGGTTCAGCTCTCAGAATTGCCGTGCTCACCTGGTTTCTCGTGCCACACCGTGACGCTGGCCCGCTGGCTTTCTGGAGGTGGACACATCCAGGTCGACATGCTCATTTACAGCTCCCGCTGTCTTCACCACTCGTCATTGAAATCAGAACTGCTCAGTCTTTACCACCTTTCAACACCTCCCTAAGACTCCTCCTAATACCCAGCACCTGTGATGTCTCACACTGTCCTTCAAGAGATACTTCACTCCACTCGATGACACCTCTTTACTGCATTCCTGACCTACGCATTGCTTGCTGTTCGATTGACATCTTTTTTCACTCTGCACTGCGTTCTGCACACCTAACCCCCGCCTGCCTCTTTTTTTTGTCATTTAATTTTTTTACTGAATTTAATTGATTTCTTTTTGTATTTGCTTTATAAATTGTGCTGTACAGTGGCCAGGATTTTGGCATCTGTTTTGCAAGTTTATAATGAAAAATAATAATGCACTATTGGATGTGTTTTGAGCACTACTCGTGTTCATGCCTGGTTTACAGCAAACAATAGCTGCCACAGATATGAGAACTACGCGTCTTGCTGTGAAGGGTTTTGAAATGTGGGCTTAGTTGCTGACCTAGGCCAGTGTTTAAATATTTTTTACCCCAACGAAACTCTTTTGTTTGGTCACAGGCTTGTGAGGGGAGAGGGAGAAGTACTGGAAGAAATTGTCAGCAAGGACAGACACAAAGAGATCAATAAGGTACCGAATGAAACTCGTGATAAATTCTTCTACTTACAGTCCCACAAATTCTTCTGTTCACAGTCATGTCCACAGACCGCTCCAAGTGTGTATGTTGGGAGTATGCATAGTTTGTGGTAGGTGTCAAACTACACATATTTGACACTCCTTATAGCTCCTTTGCATGCTTTTTCTAGGTTTCTTACTGTATTCCTCAGTTATCTGGCTGTATTGCCCTTGGAAATGCACATTTAAATCACTCATGACTTCTACACTTGTAGCTTTGATTTCTAGGCCAAACTAAGTAACTGGTTCACTAAGTAAGATGGTTCTAAGCTGTTTATGAGTGCCTTAATCTAATCCAATGTCTCACTTGGACAGACATCAACAGGTAATTGTTAGAAATAAAAAGCAAATCCTATTTTTTGTATTACTCCAAGTCTGCAGAATGTTCTCTGTGAATTGTTCTGTTTCTGAGTAATGATGCACCAGAACTGCTATTCTAGTACTGTCAAATTGATAATGGATACATCACAGTTCCTGCAGCATCAGCGCAGTATAAAGCAAGAGAGCAGCAGATGTGTCAGTCAGAAGTACATGTGCACATTTTCCCAGACCACCTTTCAACGCCTGTTCAGCACTCATCTGGTCAGACAGCCTCTGTGGTCTCTCAGCTCTGACCTGTATTTGTCAGTGTGTGCTTGACTGAGGCTGGCAGTGTGGTTTGCCTGTTGCTCCTCCTCACTGTAGACATGGTCAGGCCACCAGGCTACCTTCCTTGCTGCTTGGTATCCACACTGCCTGCGTGCTGGTTCGTTGTGCCTGGTGCAGCTGTAGTCTTGCTCTTCCTGCTTGTGCCAGACTTCACCTTATAAGCATTTTATGTGTGCATGATTGTTAAATGCTTTTTATACATGTCTTGCACCTCATCTTGGTTAGGGGTGTCTGCTAGAAAATAATAATATTAGGAAGAAAAATTACAAGGGCAGGACACTAAAGTAGATGCCTTCTGTGTTTTCACAGCAAGCGAACATTGGTGACGGGCTGTCATTTCAGAAGAGGTTGGGGATGAATCGATAAAGTTCTGCTCTTTCCTCATTAACAGTCTGCCTCTCTCTGGCCTAGCTGTGTGGGCGGAGTCCTTCCCTGGCCATGGTAAAAGCCATGGTAAAAGTTTTGGTATGGGTTCCCACAGAGTCAGGAGCCAATATATTCACCTTCCAATTGTGAGCCTCACTCTACATGCTAAGTAACACCTCTCTACATCCCTTTCAACCATCAAAGACTGTTATTTTCTTCAGCATAAAAAAGTCCAACTTGACTGGTATTTTATTCATTGTTAATGATCTGAGGTCCTCACATGTACAAGACCAATTTTTATTTCCTTGCAGATGGGAATTTTTAGTACTTTACAAAGAGAAATAAATTAGCAGGGAAAAAAACCTCTATGATGTGTGAATCATTTTAACCTTTTAATATTTATTTATACACTGTACATAGAACACAAGTAAAGAATAAAATAGCTGTCCAATTTTTTTTAATCCACATTACATACAATGATACTGTACACAAAGCACACCCAGGCATTAGAACATTGCACTAACAGCCAGGAAAGAAGAAATATGCAGGTGTGAAGTGTTACACAGTAGATTAAAACATTATCTTAACACACTTATTTTGAAATTAATACAGTAAAATAAAAAAAAACTGTTAAGCAGCAGATTGAATTTGGAAACATTTATTTCTCAGTGTTGATGTTATAATTGGTATGCAGTCATCCTTCATATCTAGGAAAATCTTAAGTATTTTTATTGTGTTCACCTACGCCCATATTTGACAATTCCATATAAATAAAATATAATAAACATACAAAAGTTTCCGTTAAATTCATCAATATATTCATGGAGATAAAACAATGAAAGGAAACATAAGGCTTCTGATTTACTGCAGCAAAGCTAACTAGTAGAGCTATTGATATTGAACAATAATTGGAACGGAGTACTTACCACTCAGGAAACCTGCTGGTTAAGAAGTACTGTTTACAGCATAAAATGGACACCGCTTTTTTTGTGAGCTATATCAAGTCAAATAACAAAAAATTCTTCTATATCTGGTGGTGTGGTGTGAACTTCAGTGATTAGTACAGATTCACAATGTGGACAAAACTGCTTTCCCCTGCTGATGGTGACCATGTGGTGTATTATCTATCAGGACCCTGTACATACGATTAATTCGATCGGACTGAATTAAATGGAAAAAAAAAAAGGTCTGTAATATTTGCAAGACTATAGACCTAGTAAAATATAAACCTTTAAAAATATTTTTTCTTATTATAAAATGTTTTAGTAGTAAAGGGACAGTAGTAAATATTTCAAAACATCTTCGCCCAGGATATCTGAAAGACGCGAAACGCTCAGTAAGTATGTTTGTCCTGCTTTGCCGGCTTCTTTTCAGATTAAGAACAGCAAAGGGAAAAATCTGCTTCTGCTGGCCTACTGCAGAACATATCTAGGGTCCTCTGTGACTTGCCTATTTAATACTTTCTGCAGTCTGCAATATCTTATGCCATCTCTGGTACAGGCATAGTAAAGTCTCCTAAGGCAACTTGACCAAGAGCATTTTTTTGTATGTTTGTTGCAGTGCATCCCCACACTGTATTTCAGAAGAAAGTTCTTACAGGTCCCACTGAACCACATAGGCAGAATCCATGCTGAACGCTTCAGGGTTTTTGCAGCAAAGTCGATTGTGAGTTTCTCATACAATCTGATCCCGGGAAGTTTCAAACAATGGCACACCAGTGAGCCCTGGACGATGTCCAGGGCAGAGCCCAGTGCTGTGGCAGGCTAACATGCTTCCTGCTGTGTGTGCTGTGCCAAAGAGACAGCTCTCGGTCTCCTGTGCTGTGAGTGGAGTGGCTTCTGCTTTTCAGTGATCTGATGGGGACAAAAATTAAAACGGCGAGCCGAGAAAAAGGCTCAGAGCATTTGAGCTCAAATTCGAAATGAGATGACACAAAAGGAAACGTGGCATTAATGATCTGTGTAGATAACCAAGATAAATTAGCATAAAGTAATTTCAGCGTGTGCTCACCCATTTGGTGAATTTTGTGCCCTAGTTTACCAACAATGACTAAAATACTCCTGCACATTGTAGACTGCCCTTGGTACTATATTTACCCGTCAATAGTTTGGCAGCAAGATCTGTTGGCTCCATTCTGATGGCTGTTGGCAACCACTTTACACCATCCCCACCCTCTCCAGGGGGTGATTTCCTGAAGATAAAGCCAGAAACAGGCCTCTCTTTGCTGTGTAGATCGAAGCTACATGGTACAAAAAGTCACCCCCCACAAGGTAAAACCCCCTTACTGCACTTATGAATATGCAGGATAAGTCATTTCTTTTTCACAAAAGTACTATTGGTTCTTCTTTTAAACAACTTTTAGGAAAACATGTAGATATTGCTTGGCTCCCAAACAAGCTCACCCATCACTTAGCATGTCTATTCACAGATGTATAGATCTATTCACTGTTGGATTCTGACTTAACGGATAAGATGCTATTTTATCTACTTGTAATAAAGGGTACAGTTTTATTGTGTGTATGCTATAGTACTACTTATTGGTAACTGAAAAAGGCTATTACTGTATATGGTGCTATGGGTTTATCAAAGGGGTTACACACTCACTACCCAAAATATGAGGAATGAACAGACTCCCTCGGCATTAGACAATGCATGATTAACTTGTAAAGCGTGAGACAGACTGCTATCACCTTCCTGCCATTCATTCGCACTGCCAATGGCTCTTGACACAACTCAAGTGCTTGGAGACAGGCCTGCATGAAGAATGGGCTGTGATGGAGCAGCAGACCTTCTGAGGTGTGTGACAAGGTCTCTTTAGATCGCAGGTCAGCAGTGGTGCTGTAGTATTGCTACATGCAGAGGCTAAATATGTTATCCGGGAGGTGGGTGTTCCTAATATTCTGGCCAGTGAGTGTAGACCCAGTACACATGGTACACTGATTGTCAATGCACATGACGTTCTTCTTCTGTTTCTCAGCTATGAAGAGTGATAATATTGCACTTATACACACTGACAAGATACATTATTCTTGGTCCATTAAAATAACTTCTATACATCTGAAACAGAAAAGGCTACATTTTTAAATATAATAAAACCTGAAGGATCCATCACCTTTTATATCTACATAAATAAATAACTTTCGACTGTATAGACCTACTTTTCATAACATTTACAGAATCTTTACACTATCTACACATTTAGTTTTCAAAGAGCTTGCAATTTTGTTATTTACCATCCGCCTATGCTCATATTCAGTTGCCTTCTACAGTTATGGTTTGGTTTTAGGCCATATCTAAATTTTCCAGAATACTTACTGTCATAATATAATGCCACACATGTTCAGAAAGAACACATTATTACCAATTCCAGTGTTTTGCAATATCACAGATTGTAACAAAAATATAATACTGTACAAGGCAAATCATTCTAACTTTTAAAGCACAAAATTATACTGGAATTTGTCTTGTAACTTCATTGTAAAAAAAAAATCACAGTTCCAAAATACTCACACAATTGCTAACTGTTAATAATAAAACACCCCTGACATGTCTGCACATTTCATATAGATGACAAGATTTATATGAGATCATAATTTCAATTCTGGGGGGAAATCTGATCCCAGAATTTATTAACAGATTGGATTATAGTTAATCCATTTGTAAAATATCTGTAGAACTAAATCACGTAACTATAATGAAAAATAGAAGTCCAGAGCTCTGGACCGGCTGTAATATAATGGAAAGCTTGGATATGGCCCCTTCCATGCTTAATCACTCACATGTACTGCCTTTTTGGCACGTTAACTTTTTTTTTTATATCCTGAAAGTTAAGAAAGTATACACGCACGCACACACACATCCGGGATAGGCAATAAATAATAGCTATCATGCACTACAGATAACAACATGTAGCCACATGAGATGGTAACAAGATCTCCATTCTAAAGTTAGTGCAAAAACAATGAGGTTATACAGTTGAGCTACTACAGCTTTAAAAAAGATTTGGCTGTTTTGTTGATTTTGAGTGACTGCTGATACAGTTTGCCCCCAGGACATTCCGCTAGAGAATGTGGAGGTGTGAGTGGAGCTGTGGAGAGGTATGGATCTTTTATGAAGGTCAAGGTGAAGCCCAGGTGTGCTTTCCTGCAGAGTGATTCATTTAAAACCCGCATGATCACCTCTGCCAGTCAGGCAAACCTCGAACCAGTTAGCCCTCCCTAAATGCACTGATTTTACCAAAGCTCGCCACTTCCTCTGCATGTCTAAGGCATGCATGCAATTAAATGTTCTCCTTTACTAAAAGATGAAAAGTGGAATTTATGCTGTGCAAGTGTACGTTGCACAAGAAGATCTACAGTAACATAGCCTGTCAGAAGCTCTTAAATTTTCAGAGTTCCTTCGAAAAGACAAAATGTTATGGAACTTGTTTTGCATCATTAAAGCCCCTTCTGATAAGAAACAGTAGTCATTTTTTTCACATTTGCCCAGACCATCATAGTTTCAGCTATGTTCAGACTAAATCATTCCAGAATATTGTGGAACAGTCTATTTGACGAGCAATGTTCAGTTTTAATCCTAGCTATTTCTAAAACAATCTTTCTTGAATCAGACGCCTAAGAAAGTGATCTCTTCCAAACTGCTTCTGCACTCCAGGCAAATGAGGATTGGTGTGCTTCAGTGGGGTTTAAAGGGTCAATGCAAGTGTGAAACAGACTCTTGCAGAGACTGAAGGACACACTACTAGAGGTATTGCAAGCAGTTTCCAGAGATAAAGATATTCTCCAAAACTGAGTTATTTTTGAAAAAAGTGAAAGGAGTTACTTTTCTTAATACAATAAAGATCTTGCTTTGCACACCACTCCTGCTTTATTTTTTAATATTGTTAGTGTAAACCATTTTTTGATCTCACACAGGAAGGAAATGTGTTGGATAAGGCCTCTGGTGACCTGCAGGCCGTGCTAAAAAATGTGTTCTGTAGATCTGTAACATATGCATTGAGAGATTCATTATTGCCTAGTACTACTCTACAGCAAGATTCTAAAGAAGCACCACTGGTCTTTAATATGTATACAAGTGAATTCTCCCGCACTGAATTTCAAGTAACCATCAGAAAAGATCCACACGGCTGCACACAAACAACACCCCAAACTGACCTTTCTTAACATACTGCGAAGGTGAAGGAGGCACGTATTTACATGTAAAGAGTCTCTCAGAAACCTGGATAAGAAAAGATGCAGAACTTAGCACATTCCTGATCAAATGACATTTCATCCAAAAGCATACTCTTCCGTCCAGTGGTTCTTTTTTCCCCCCATTTTAAGTCACGAGAGCTAATGTTCCTCACAGGAACACCGAGCACTGGTTTAAGGCCTGCATTTTTTTTTTTGTGATGCTCAAAGCACAACTTCTCTGCATCCTCGACGCCTTTCCTTTGTTGATGCTGTTCCTGTTTTTTTTAAAAAAAACTGTAGCACCATATTTGCTTCTGCTCCTTCCCCCCACCCTCCCGGATGTGTCCCCCGAAACTGACTTGCCAAGTCCTGCTCCTCGCTCTCCCTCCCCCCCCTTTGCTCCCGTCCCGAGTCCCTAGGCCGCCGAAAGTCCTCTCCCTGCTCGGCCTATTTCTGACCCAGCGCTCCGGCTTCCAGTTTGGTGCTGCTGCTCCGGCCCCAGCACCCCGCCGCGATGCTCATGCTTCTTTGGCTGCGCTCGATGCGCTCCCGCTCCCTCTCGCTGTCGGACTGGCTCTGCGTCCGCTCGGGCTTGGCGTGGGCGGGGGCGGGGGCGCCGCCGGGCTGGGAGGAGATGGTGCGCAGCAGGTGGTTGCGCTTCCTCAGGAAGTCGGTGTTGCCGCCCAGCCCGAAGCTGCCCTTGCGCAGCACCATGCGCGTGCTGGTCTTGGCGGGGCGGGAGCGGTGGCTGTACTCCAGCTGGGACAGGTGGGTGGCGTAGCCGTCCGTGATGAACTGCGGCACAAGAGACACAGCCAAGAGGGGAAGAACGGGGGTCTAGTTAACGAAGAAAGACCAACACCTCTGAGGCACGTGGGATAATCAGGAAACCGGCCTCATCTACTGCCTAATTCCCTAAAAAATCCAGATTGTGTTAGTGTAGACTAGTTTCGCTGACTGGAACACCAGCTGAGACGGTTTTCAAAGCAGAAAAATAAGCACTTCAAGTCGTCTGCCGCTAGTGATTCTGGAAATTCGGTGAACCACGTTGCGAGTGAGATCCATGTTGGCGTCGCGCTTGCGGGACCTAGATTACGGCGTGCAGAAAGATTGGGAATCTACACCAGACTGAAGAGCAGACATCAGGCAGGCTTTGTGACTTTGTGATTTCTAGGACTACTGATGCATATTCTCATTTAACCTTGCAATTTCTGTGTTGAAATTGCCTAGGTTTGGGGACTCCTATCTCCCCTGTCCCTTATAATCAAAGAAGCATATCTAAAAGACAGGGAAGCAATACCATTTACAATATTTGTATTTTGATCAGTTAGGTCATATTGAAATTCACCTTTCTTCCAGTGAGAAACAAAATTTCCATCGTGTGGAAAAACACTTCTGTATGTACAATTTCTGTAAATAAGATGGTTTTATTTTGGTTTTCATTGTTTAACTTTTAACTGAGCACGGCTTCCAAACTCCACATTCCTGTGAGTTGAGAACCACGCGACGTGGGTATCCATGAGGTGGTAAGGAGTAAGATTTAGCGGTTAGTGATTTAATCCCGCCTCTCTCACACAGATACGGTTACTGAGCCCGGCATGAAAAACTCCGAACTCCTGCTGCAGAAGATTCCTACCTGACACTGATGCTGCATCTTTTTGGTGGGTCGGCCAACAATGTAAATCTGAGAAGGCGACAATCCAATGGATGTGTACACCGAAATATCCTTTGTGGATCCATATGCAGCATAGATCTTCATATAAGACTAACAGGCAAAGGGAGAAAAAAAGATGAGCTTGAAGAATTATGAGCTTTGTGTGAACTGTAAAGCATTATTATTTTCCTGTCTGTTCCAACCCATTTGCCCCACAATGTCAGTCAATCTGTAAAAAAAAAATTAAAACGACAGTTTGCTGCAACACTTAATTTCCATATTTTTTATAAAGGATAAAGGCAGACCTACTCTTTCATGGGATCTGAATTTGATCCCACTGCGTAGAGACATGAACTACAACCATGAGGACAGAAATGCTCCCTAGAGGGTACAGCAGACACAGTGATTCTGTCAGTATCAGAACAGTATCAGAGTTGTTAGGATTAAACTTTGTCAGATCAGCTTCCTGGATCTAGGAGAGGGCCTGGTTACTGATTAACCTAAACACCAAGACACCCTGGGTATCGCTCTCACCTCGGTGATGAGTGACTTGAGGAAGTTGGCCTTGTGGCGCAGGGGGTCGTGGACCAGCCCGTCACAGAAGGACACGATGCCATGGGGGAAGTTGTGCTGCGACAGCCAGGCCACCACTCTCTGCTTCTGCATGTCGGGCCGCCCCGTCACGTAGATGATCAGGTAGCCCAGATCCTGCCAGTGCCTACCAGACAGCGACGGGCGCACACGTTCAGTTGTGCTCACCTGACCAACTACTTGCTCGTACAGCAGAACAGCTGAAGATGAGGACTCATGGGACCTACAGGTGGAACAGTGGCACTGTGGCACAGGATCTGCGCCTGTGTCTGGAGGATTGCCGGTTCAAATCCCGCGGCCGGCAGAGGAATCCTACTCCTGAGCAAGGCCCTTAACCCCAGCTGCTCCAGGGGTGCTGTATGAATGGCTGACCCTGCGCTCTGACCCCAAGCTTCACTCTCCCTGTCTGTGTGTCTCATGGAGAGCAAGCTGGGGTATGCAAAAAGTCAAATTCCTAATGCAAGAAATTCTATATGGCCAATAAAATGATCTTATCTTACTGATCCTAGCTCCTCCTGGTATATGTAGAAGTGGTAAGCAAGAATACTGCAATATTACAATATTATCGTTTTAAGACTCGGCTTTCCAAAGAGTCCTGCACCTGAGTGGGGTGAACGAGGGCCGGCGGACACACTCCTTGCCGGTACCCATCAGGAGGGGCAGCGCCCCTGCAGAGCTGAGGCATCACTCCGAGCCCCCAGGTGGCTGGCAAGTTGCAAGCATCGCTGCAGCAGCCCCAGCAAGCACCCTGCTCACCATGTGCCCTGACCAGGAATCAAGTGACATGGCGCAACACAATTACGGCAGCGACATCTGGGCCGCTGAGCTCCTCTGATGCCGGGGGCAAGCGCCTGTCCTGGCTGCAGTGGCTCAGAAGGCCCAAGCTGCACCATCACTTAAATCATCTTCTTCCCAGACGTGCTCCGAATCCTACACCTGCACATTTTTGTCCCCTTCGGTAATGAAACCGAGTCCCGCGTTTGGAGGTTCTTACTGCTCGCGGTGACAGCTCTCCGCTCTGCCCTCGGGGGGAATTTCTGGGAGGTGCCGGTCCGACTGCAGCTCCTACCTGACAACATCCACGGCTCCTGCCCTGACTTTGGGGTCGCTGCCCATGATGGAGACGCTGGCGGCGAAGGAGCCATCGATGCTGAACACCACAAACTCCGTCCCTTTGGGCAGGACAGTCAGATAGCTGTCCGCGTATGTATGGTCGCCCCTGCGTGAAGGAGAGCAGAGCTTAGAGCTTCCTGTGGTGGTCATCACGTCCTCGTCAGGACAACAGTGATTAAGAAAGGAAGTCATCAATGTACCCTGTCTCGTAGACTGGCCTCGTTCAACCCCAAACTCACCTGAGGCCACACCCCCTTGTATTTAACGATTACATTTCCACCACACGGTATCTGAAACAAAAAACCAGGACCGCCTGGACCCTGACATTTGGGCTTACAACCGTTTGTGTCTCTGCTTTTCACAGCTGCGGCTTCCATTTCAGAAGGTCCAGTAACTTCCCGAGCCTTGGCTTTGGTGTTTTGTGGGGGCACGCTGCTTTGTCTCCTGTGCTAGACGGACCTTAAATGGGGCCCCCCCAACCCCCGTACCTGACCACCATTTTGATGGGGTACACGCCAATGCCCAGGCGCTTGCTCTCTGGGATGACGTAGGAGATGCGGCCGCTGCTGTTCGTCAGCTCGGTGTCGAAGTAGACCCACTCCCCAGTCGGGGGCTGAGTCATGATGTGAATGTCCACCTGAAAGACAGCACGAACGCGGTTATACCCCCGAGTGACAAGAGCCTGAAATCCCGTCCTCTTTTCAAGAGCAGCGTAGATCATCACGGCATTCACTTTTAGCCCTCTGAGACCCTCTCCGCATAGCGGGATGTGACTTTTCTGGTCACGTTCCCCCACGCTTCCCACTAGTACCCCTCTGTGGGTCAAAGCATACACTAGCTTCTGCCTACGCACTGCTGCATCCTCCACACGCAGTTAAACAGAACTCGACTTATAATCCCCAGCAGGAAAGTCAACGGCGGTCCTTCTTCTCAGATTGTTCACTGCACACCATAAAAGAGCTGTTTATGACCTCAGGTCTCCAAGACTGGGAACAAAAAGCACTGGACTCAGCTTCTGCTGCTATGTTTCTCTTTACAAACACGGAGCGAGGTGGAATAAGCAGGTTGTGCCGGTAAGATGACCTGCGAGTGGCGTCTTTCTAGTTACTGGAGACAATTCCTTGAGGGGGGCAGAGCCCTCCAGGGCGCCCGAGCTCCCCAGACGTTTTCTCCGCCCTCCCCGGTGCCCCCTGAGGACGGCCTTACCTTCTCCCCAGTGAGCGTGACCATATCCAGGGGGCCGTACATGAACCTGCCGGTCACCACCTGCTGCCCGTCCTCTGTGAATACTGCGTCGTTCACTCGGTGATTCGCCGTCACGTTCTGCGTAGAGACGGAAACATGCGAGCGCTCTTTAGACCGGCTGGCAGAGAGGCCCTTTCCGACTCGCACACAAACTTCAAAGTGGCGCAACAGCGTTGTGAACCTAACCGAAGAAATGATTGAGATCTCGAAGTGGAAGATTTTCTGTGTTGAATTGTGAATATGGGTCATAGGCACCTGAAACAGGATGGCCTGGCTCACGTCTGACCCCAGTCTGGGGACGTGCTTACTGTAGTACCTGATGTACAACCTGATGGTTCTTCCGTCCATTTAGAAGCTAAAGTAGTTATCAAAAGGAAAAATAAATAAATAAATAAAGCTAGCTGAACCTCCCAGTGTTCTGCTCAATAGAGGCATCGCTATTCTATATGGGAAAGATAAATCCTAGAAACTAGCATGTGAAAGTACTTTGGACAGTCCACTCTGTTAAGTGTTAGGACACTTAAAGGATCGGGGAATATTTACCCTGATTTTAACGTGAGTCCTCTTCCTCAGCCACTTCTCTCGAGGTTTGGAGGGGCTGAACACTGACACCTCCTTCCCGTCCAGTTCCAGGATACTGGAGTTCTCATGCCTCATCACCTGCAGGCCATCATCAATGCACAGGTATCAGTACCTCATGGAGCTGTGCCCAGAATTGCTAGCTATGCCTGCCCTCCACCCAGTCCTGCACACTTGAGCACGGCATTAAAATCAACATACAGACCTTTGTGGATCCCCTTTTTTTGTTCAGCACATACCCGGAGACAGACATAGATTAACAGCCATGTGAAACTATTCACAGCACCAAAAGCTACTCGCTGAGACTTATCTTTGATAGGAAAAGAAAAATGAGCATCCTCCTAACTGTATCATCACACCGCCCAAGGGAAAAAGCAAAATTATATATTAAGGCCCATAAATACTACAATACACCCCCTTTGACAAATTACAAAAACAAAATCTTTAAGGTTTGTGTTGCATAAAGTTACTCAGAACAGATTATTTATGGGGTATAACGTGTATTCATAATTTAGGTGTTTTGACCGAACTCTCTGGGACTCTCCTCAGGAATGGACACGCTTGCTGAAGTGCTAGCACTCGATCTATGAGAGAGTAGTACTGCGAATACCCCCCCAGAACAACCCTACCTGTCTGAGCAGAAAGGACACCACGTCTGTGGACTCCCAGTAGCTGGCGTGGAAGAGGTGTGGCAGTGCTACAGTGGGGAACGCAGTCAGCGCGTCCGGGCAGTACAGGGCCAAATCAATCCTCTTTGTTCCCCACCAGCGCGCCGCAACTGCCAGGACAGAGATCCACGTCAGCACTGCTTTTCACAGCGGCCAGGCGCAAAACACCTGCTACTGCCGCCCAAGATACGGGGCCTCTCACAATCCATTCACAATATTGAGAGGCAGTGTATTTTTTACCAGGTTACTCTTTCCAACTATGTTACTTAAGCATTTGCTTGACAAGGCTCCTGTGTAGTCAGTAAAGCAGATCATGAACCCCTCATTTTTTTAAAAATCCTTGGTTGATGTGGGGGTCCCCCCCCATACCAGAACAGAAGAGCAGAGGGCCAGTTTTAACTCTCGTTAAGGTATGTTTGGCAGTAACATCAAACCTCAGTGGAAGAAAGAAGCACCTACAGTACTACAGATCAAGAGGCATTCTCGTAGCATGACTAAGTTATAGTGACTGTAAGTTTTTTCCTTAGAGTAGAAGCTTGCGCCAGTAAAAAACAAAAAAACAGCAAGAAATTAAAAAAGAACTCAGCATAGCAGGCGGTGTCAGCAGGGCAGATATTCCAAAGACATTAGAGCCAAGATCTCCCTTTATCTGACTCTCGGTTGAACTCCCACTGTCCCTCAGCAACATCTAAGCCTGGCTCAAAGCAGGCTCAAACAATTCTCACTGGTGAATGACAGGAATTTGGGGAAGAATCCTTGCACGGATGTTATTTTATCATCTGCGTTTTTAAAAAGTAATTAAAAAAAACATTTGCCCTGTTATGTAATTTAGATGTCCAGATATTCCCTGTGTCTGCTTTGCTTGAAAAGTTCAAACATACACTGAACTGTTTTCATCTCAGGGCATTTGTTAAAAAATCACACGTCCTCCAGTAATAGCTAAGAATGATGTAGTCGTTGTTTTACTTCTTATGTTCTTATATTCTCGCTCTGTTTTGCATGTCTACTTCCTTTAGATTACAGACACACAAGCTTGCTATACTTAGAACTCTTACACCAGGCGCTTCACCTGTTCATGTTAAACACTGGCTTGCCCTGTTCATTTCTGCTTTACTGTGGAACTTGCAAGCAGGGGCATTTCATCTGAGCTTTCACCCTGTCCAGCTGTAGTGCTACGAGGGCTGGGGAGCAATGTGCTGTAATACCACTGATCATCTGTCAAGTGAAGTCAGTCTAATGCTGAGTTAACACCAGGTGGCTATGACAAGAGTGGCCCAAGCTGGACTGGAGCATCTTGGAGTTTTAAGTGCTCAATAGATCAGATGATTGACTAGCTTCAGATGGTCATAATCTTTTGTTCCAGTTGTCTAGTGTCCTGATGATTTAAGAAACCCTGGAGAACCTACAGAGTCATGGCTCTTCAGTACTCTCAAGATGCCTTTGCATCTGGGAGGCCAAAGTGACACTCCCACTGGGCCACCTGGCCAAGGTGAGCCTCACAAGCCTCACCAGCCAAATCCCTGGACACTAGCTTCCCTATCAGTACTTCCCATGAGCCCGTGTCTGAGGTATGTCCTTCCTCCTCAATTTTCAGGTTGACGTGCTACATTGCAGGCATTGAAAAAGCTTACATTTCATCTTAAAACCTCCAGGTCGTGGAGTGGGCGCGAAACCCCAGCCCACAGTGGGTGTCTCGCCACTGGGAAACGCCCCTGCCGAGTGTGGACCTGACTGGACGGCGGTGCCGGGACAGGGTTTGATTTTTGGAGGGGATAGGCAGAGTAGTGATTTGCAGAGGGTACGAGACACTAAAGAAGTTTGAAGAGGAGGGGGAAGGGAGTGGGAGGCGGATTCTGCAGGAGAGCGGAGCTAATGCAGTGGTGGCGGCTATCGTTCCGAAGGCTGTGACAGGAAGTGATGTCAATGTTGGCTTCCCCCCTCCAGAATACCTTGCTCAATATCCAGTGGCGGGATCAGCGAAATGGTGCCGGGACTGCGGACAGGCCCCAAGGAACTGCTCTTCTCTACGTGATTCGAGCAGTCGGGGCCTCTGCCTCTGTCTGCCTGTGACTTTCTACGGGACTTGGGAGAAGGGCTTCTTAGAAAGGACTTATTGTAGGGGAGAGCGAGTTGGGATAAAAGGCTTAGTTTTTTGGAATGGTTAAGTTGGCATGCTTGTGCTAAGAAAACAAAAACAAAAAAAAAACAAAAAAAAATTAATAAACATGAAAAAATAAACACATTAGTAACACTAGGAATAAATATTTCGTTTGTAGAAAGGAAAAGGGAGCAGCCACAGTGATTTAAGGGGTCCAACTGTGACAACGATAACAGCCTCAGAAGTCTACTTTTCTTTTGCACTATTTTTAGGCTATTGAACTTTTTCAGTCCCGTAATGAATTCTTTGTGATGTCATTGCTAATATTATTTTGATCGAGTAACTGCAGTGCTATCACGTATATATATTAATCTAAAAAAGCTTCAAACATTTGCTAGTCTTTATAAGAGCCTTTGCATTATGCCTTTAGATATTCCCTACAGAAAGACTTCTCAGCCAGTGTCCAGGTGATCCCTGTGTCCAGTGGGTTGTGCTCCAGCTGAGTCCTTGATTTTTTAATTGAACCCCCAGATTTAAGTAATAATTTACTAATTAGACACTTTTAATTGTTTTACAGCAACAGTAAAAGATTTTAAATTCACCTATACATATTTTTTTAAATATGCACATTCTAGGAGCAGAAAGCAATTAAAAGATCTAATCAATCACCTTATTAGTTCAATTACAGTTTTAATTACGCATTCGAGATCCCAGCTGGAATGGAAACCAGCTGGTCCTGTGGTCCCAAGGTCCAGGGTTGGGAAGAGACGCATTACTGTATGATTGCTCTACAATTCGAAAAACCGTATTCTGCGTTGAATAAAGACTTCCTTCAGCACAGAATTTCTTCTGTATTACAAAATCTGTTCTGAAGGTTGTGAATATGATGAAAGGGGAACATTTTGGGCCACAGTCCTGACGTATGACAGAAAACAACATTAAAGCTCCTTGATTTCTGCGCACACAAAACAACATGGACCAATGAAAGAGAAATGCAGCAAACAGATTCTGTTCTTTGTATGCACAGCACTGCAAACGTGGTCAAGATGAATGCAATTTATCCCTTGAAAATTTGCAAACAGGAAACTACAAACAAGAAACATGAGAGTTGTCAAGGACAAACTGTGGTTTATGCCAGGGATGATTATTGAATTATTTATCTCTAAATCAGTTTTCTGAAAAGAAATGAGCGAGGGCGTGTGAGATGTACTGTTTAATTGTGGATTTTATTTTTATGCTGAACAGAGGCTCTAGGTGTGGATGATTAATCATTTTTAAACTGCCTTTTTTAAATTAAATTAAAATTACACATTTAGTTGTTTTTTTTTATTTTTAAGATCCCCAAAAGTCACTGGCCAATCCCCTGCCCCATTAATAATGGAAGTTATTATGAACTGAAATTTAGGAAGGAAAATGAAGTCAAACTCGCATAGCTGCTCCTCATCACCATAATCACGGAAAATAGCTCTATGCTGTATATTGAACACATCTCTCTTTGCATTCGTCTCAAGTATCCCACCTGCCCCCCATCTGCGCCTTGCTGCTGCCCCTTGGTTAGCTGCTCTCTGAATTGGGTTCAATCCTCCCTGTCTTGTGGCCAGGAGGCCAGCCATTGAGCAAGTGGGTTAAGCCAAACCTGTCTCACTTAATATTCCAAACATTCACAAAGTATTCAGTTCTTGGATGCTGTTGTCCTGTTGTCCCTAGATAAATCCCTTTAAGTTCTCTGCCATTATTTGGGGTTTCTATCAGTTAAGCAAACCTGTCTACTCTTGGATCAGACCGATTTTTTACAGGGTTCAACACATAAACGATACCTTTAACGGTAGTGATTATAAATAAAGTAAAATTTAAAGCAAAGCACAAATATATGCTCTGATGTGAAGCAAAATGGGCTTCTACTGTAGATCAAAATACATTCACTGCATCTCTGTTTTGCCCAGTTCCCTTTATATCAGCTCAGTGACACAACTAACTCTACTGGCAAGGACTCCAGATATGAATGCCTTTGAATGCCTTGTTTTACACCAGCTAAAGTACAGCTGACGACTTTATGGCTGCAATACATTTCCAAACCAGTGCTGCACTATAGTGACCAGGGACACCTTACCATCTTTTAAATGTTAAACCAATGTCCCAACAACTTGGGCAATTAAGACCAGGGGGCATTAATCCTGATGTATTGCCTAAACTGTAAATTGTGGGCTTGCATAACTGTCCCTCCTTAAAACTTCCCCCTTCATCCATTTGTTGAAATAATTGTCCACCTGATCTGCTGTGTAGTGGGTCTACTGGTGCATAATGAGCCCTCCATCACCTACTACACTTCAGCGCAGGATGAAGGGTGTCCAATTCCATATGTAAAACGTTTTTTGAGATCCTCTGGTATTATATGTGTTGAATAAATACAAGGAATTAAGCATTTAATTTACAATGAAATTCAGATTAACGTACTTCATAAAAATTACGGGAAAAGATAGTACGTACAGTGTATATCCTTTCATATAAAACGTACACTTGACATTGCTGTACATTACGATAAGAAGATCATCATCTCACACTGAAGTTAATGCTAACTGCCTTTTTCAAAAATCATGAGAACACACATACTGTACATACTAAAAGTATCCTGTCTGCTCTACTGTATGAGCCCAGTATGTAGCCCCAAGTCTGTCAAGAGGAGAACAGTGATCATTATTCACTATTCAGTGACCTCTGCTGGTATGACATAGTAGTGCATTAAGGCTGCACACAAAAGAAACACAAAAATACCCCCTTTGGAAACCCTTCTGTGATAAATCAAAGCGTTTAGCAATCCAAGATTGAATTCCCAATGCCCAGATTCCTAAAACCCTTGCAAGAATCTCAGCAGCCCTTAGGCCTAGTGACAGAAAATAAAATTTGTTGTCTGACTGAGAAGCAGTTTGGTTAAACCAGGGACGGGCCAAGGAGCCACGCGCGCGCGAGAGCCGTGTGGGTGCGCCGTGCCGGTGAGCTCCGTGTGTCGTGCAGGCGGAGGGAGGGGAGTGGGGACACTTACTGTTGGCTATGTTGGAGGCAGTGTAACTGTCTGCCATTCCTGAGACCTGGCTGGCAATGCTGACCTCACTGGCTCTCCGCAGGCCCCGGCAGTGAGGGGCTGTAATGGGGGAGGAGGGGGACGAAGGGTCCACGAAGACAGCACCATGAGACTGAACAACATCTGCTATTGAGCCGAAACAAGGAAATCCGATTAGGCACACGTTCTGAGAAGTGTAGGGACAGACAATGAAGAGGAAGGAACCGGTGCAGAAACACAGACAGGAGAAGGTGAAACGGAGAAACTCGGATGCAAGTTGGTTTTACCGGTGTGTGTGTAAAACCAAGCAATCTGAGATGCTGTTTGCCACATAGAAAATGCTGTGGGGGCACATCGAGGTTAGTAGCCAACCTCACACAAAATGGGGATACAAGGAACAAATACAGGAAAAAAAAAAACACAATAATGGCCCTGCTTTTGTTTTCATTGTCTCTCATTAACGTTAAATGAACGATACAATCGACTTTTTAGCTTGAGAAGCGAGTTTTACAAGCCTTCAGCTCTGTGCTGCCTACTGCCGTCCACAGCCATATGGCACTGACAGAGGATAATTTCGAACGCATCTGAAGCCGTGAGCTGAAGAGAACTGCAGGGTTCACCAACGGAAAGAGAATTCCAGCAGGAAGGTGAAGCACTTTATTACACACAGCTCTGAAATGTTCTCTGAAAAGCTCTAGTTTCTGAAATGAGAGACTAAACAGGGCAAAGTGCTGACATGAAGTTGTTAATCATTTTACAATTTTAATTCAGTACAAAATACATACAGCTAAAAAGTCAATTGTACCGCTAACTTAAGCACCTTTTTTCCCCTCTATCAATAGCAGAAACATCCTTTTCTCACTTTCCCCAGAAAAGAGAAGTATTTTGGAACTATAGAGCAGATCAAATTCAGATCATTAACATCTCACACACGAACAGCCACAAGTTTAGTTTTCCAATACCATGTCATCTAATTTTAGTGTTCTTGTATGATAAACAAGAGATCATGCAGAATAGCTTCATTAATTATGGTCATGTATAAAGAAGCACTACAACGTTAATGTAGCTGTCAATGCAAAGGTCTTCACACGGTATGTTAAAGTCTAACTGCTGTTTGTGTAGAAACTTTCAGAAAACTTTACAGCAAAACTGTGAAAACGTCAGACTAAAATGACCTAAGCGGAGAACCTCTATGTTGAACATACATACACAACAAAAGACGATATTCGTGCTGCATATACAGCTTGAGTAAACAATCATTAAATTTATTTCCCACATATCTTATCTCTTTTTGCTTTATGTTTATCGATGATATGTCATATTCCCCAAGTAGCAACTCCAATACTGTAAAATGGAGTTGTACTGAGATTTAATTAAGGCCACAGCTTGTGTTTAGAAACATCCCAGCACGAACAACCTCCTCACCTTAAAATTGACAAGTGTTGTTAAACTGACACAGATAATTCTGCCTGGCATTTTATTCAAGCCAGCTAAACTGCCAAATGTTTAATCAGTAAGATTTAGGACAAATGCAAAAACATCACAGGAAAAGCAGGGGGTGTGAATGCAGCAGTCAGCTGTGCATAACACAGTGGAGAGAGTCTGTACTATCAAAAGTTTTGACCACAGCAAAGCATAACATTGCATATTCAGTTTAAGCCATTCTTTTAGCCCCATCTTCCCACTACATTGAGCACAGAGCTGGATAGAACAGTCTTGAAAAGAACTTCTCCAGTTAAAATGATCCGTTTCTCAGCTGATTGCTTTGATCTGTCCCCTAGACAGCCATCCAAAACAAGATATTGTGCATCAAAGCGATTTTCCAGCCTACAATTTACAAACCAAATCGTGCATTTGTATAAATGCTAAAACTCCGGTGAACCACCACATAGACGGGAAAGCTGCCCCAGGTTTAAGACAGCACGTACAGTACCTATCCAGTAAGTGCTGCATGCTGTTCTCCAAGTTCAGTAATACAGCCTTTGGATTTAGGATACGTAAGACAGATCACAGTGTTACGCACTCTTTCTCCTGTATGACAATTAAAGATCAATCGGAGCATTAGAAACTGAACTCAAGAAGAGAGTAGCTGCAGGAATAGCTGGGACTGCTATGCAATGCAAGCTGGGCCACTGGCATTCCCAGATTGAAGGTGTCTTAACAAAACCCGCAAACCCAAGAACGAGATAAAGCACATCGCAAACACAACGAGGAGGCATGAGAGAAATCAAGAGACAGGCAAAAAAAACCATGTAAGGAAAGACTACACACACTCCGTGGCAGCTGGATTTTTTATGGAGCCGTCCTGCCAGTTTAGAACCGGGACTGGTATACTGGTCTCGTTGATGCCCTCCTGGGAGCGGAGAGCAGCCAATGAGCCGCTGCTCTCCATGAGGATAATGGGATTGCTCTGGACTGTCTCGACTAGAAGCAGGGAGGTAGGGGTAGGGGAGGACAAAGAAACAAACGGAAAAAAAAACAAAGAACAGACATGTAGCCACAAACTGTCAACAAGACCAATAAGAGTCAAGCCCTTACAGCAACTGTCCTGACATCTCAACCTGCCCTGTGGGTTTCCCAGCAGAGGAACAAGATAAGAGACTGAATATCTGCTCCATGCTGATTCAGTAGCGGATGTGATACAGTACTGTTTATCTCATGTAGACCCATGCTGTCACCGCACAGACTGCCACTGTAGAGTGTGAATCTACAAAGACTTCCTTACCTATGGAGATATGAAAGCTGCAACACATAGGAGACTAGACTGTAAGGGCCGACTGTAATAAGTCCAACAACAATTTAATGATAACATGTAGATGAACACAAACCTCCCAAAACACATCAAGCACATGTCATATAAAGACTACTAATTCTTGGTAAACAAAGGTTTGAAATGCAACGAGCCTGCTTCCGATGTTGAACGTACAAAGAAAACTAAAGGTTTAAGATTTATGATTTAAGACTCTGTGAACATCAAGATCCTGTTTTTTTGGTAAAAGTTCAAAGACAGTTGAGGAAAATGCATTGGTATCTGGCCAGTTACTGTACTGTAGGTCTACTGATTTGCAAGTGTATTCAGTCGCCTGAATTGAATGCCCTGTACAAAATCACTCTCCTCATTTCACCGGTTTTCTCACACCTGCAAGAAAAACAGAACTCAAAACGTCCAGGAATAAAGACCCAGGGGGGTCTCCAACACTGGCCTAAAGGGCCAGTGAGTCCTCAGGTTTTCAGTCCAGCTGGACTTGTGCTGACCTCGTCAGCTCGTTATTGGGCCAGTTCAACAGCTGCTCCCAGCTCGTCAGGTGCCGGATGCTTCAAAGAGACCTAAATAACCTGCGGACACACCGCCCCTCAGACCAGGACTGCGGGCCTCTGCTCTAGTCTTGCGTGGGGTTTCCGGTGCCGCGAAGCCGACTCACCCAGGAGTGTGGAGTTGCCATCTCCCAGGGGGAACCGCTGGTACCGAGGAACATTGAAGGGAGGCAGGAGGTGGAACTTCTTCTCCAGGAGGGGCTCCAGGCGGGAGGCCGAGGGGTCAGCGGGGTGGAACAGGTTGTACACCTGCTGACACGCCGGTCGCAACTGAGCCACTGCAAGCGGGCAAGGAGACGGCGGTATTCAGCGGGAGAAACGAGAGAAGGGTTTGCTGAACGGCTGCTTTTGGCAGAAGTGCCCCCTCCCCCCCCCAAAAAAAGCAAAAGGGTTTCTTACCGTCCAGAGCGGGGATGACGGTTTTCCTCAGCGCCAACACGAGGCCCAGCGGGGAGCCGAAAAGAAAAAAGTCGGACACCTCAAATTCAAACTTCCCGAGGGAACCTCCGTCCAGCATTGTGGAGCTGCTGGATCTGCGGGAGCTGGGATCGTTTCGCAGGACGCTGGAGTGCAGGCTGGACAGGACACGAGAGAGAGTTTGAACAGCCGCGTTCCAGTCTTTCTGTCAAGTCTGTAAGAGAGCCCGTTGCCCCACTGGGGTTGCCTGTTGTATCAACTCGTTATAATCTGACAATACCTGTCCCGTCAGGACAACAACTGATGGCACAGATGTCCCGAGACATCCTGCAGAGTAACAGATCGCAGTGAAAGCATAGCATTTCTACACAATCTACAGGGAAATGACCTGACTGTTGTTTGCCCTCCTAGTAGTAAAGAACAGGAAGTGATATAAAGGAAACAAAATGCTCCTGCAAGGAAGATCAACCCCTCTTTCCGACCTCTCCCCTGACTGGATCACCTGGACAAGAAGGCCTGGTGCTGTTTGATGGTGTCCAGCTCGTAGGTGGAGGAGTCGCTCCTCTTGCGGGGCAGCTGTTTCTTGGGGTCGTCGGCACCGCTGCGGGGGATGTCGATGTTGCTGCGGCTCAGGTGCCGGCTGCCCTCGAGGTTGGAGCTGCCGGAGCAGTAGCTGTTGTTCACGATGATTCCCGGGGACAGCAGGTCGTTGTCCTGCTTAGCCAAAAAAAAAGGAGCCACGACGGCTATCAGCTGATTTGGGCAAAAGGAATGAACAGAACACTTAACGCTGTTCTATAAATGGAAACCAAGAGACGTTTCATAAAATGGGGGGGGAAAAACAAAGCTGAGCACAGAGCGCTGGGTACAAGGGTGGTTTGAGTCCAATACAGAAGGAAACACCATGTTATGCTGGAACAATTAATAACCCGTACAGAGAGCAATCCATCAGCAAACACACAGTAATCCAAACACCGTTCTTCCTCGATGTGTATATGGTAACAGGTAGACCATGATGCCATCCATTCATTATCTAAGCACTTCCTGCAGTTCAAGGTCATGGGGGAGCTGAAGCCTGGCCTGGCAAGCAAGGCAGGGTACACACTGGTTGGCCAGTCATCACAGGGCATCGACCAAACAGAAAATTCTTTTTTTTTCCATTAGTAAAAACCAAGCACCATCTTGGAATGAAGTTTCACATCGCACAGGTCACAGAACCAAAGGGAAAGCGACCTCCGGTGTCAGCTGAGCGGTGACACAGTTTCTTACCTGGACACTCACCACGCTGCCTCTCCTGCTGCTGTTCTGGCTCTCTGACACTGTCTGGTTGCTGTTGCACAGAGCGTCAAATCCCAGAATGCCACCCACGCAGTCTCCTATCAGACACACCTGCGCGTTGGAAAGCAACACAAAGCAAAGACCATGACAGGAGGAAGAGGATGCACAAACCATCCGTCTCCGCACTCAGATCTGCTCCAGCTTGAAGATGGAAAAACTACCATTCCTTGCACTTTACATCAAGGAGGCTCCTACTGGTACTCTATTGGGAAATAATACTGCAGCATTAAAAAAAAACTAATTTTACACTTGAGATTGTAGGAGGAACATCAAACGTGCGGAGGAATTCTGACACCTGATAAAAGCTTATATCTCAGGCTAGCAGGCAGTGGTCACAGCAACTTGTAAATTCTTTAGCATCAAAGTAAATAATAAAAATGTATCAGTCTGATCTTTTTTACATGTAAAGAACTTTCTGTATCATGTAACTTAAAAGAATTTTATATAGTTTGGATCAATTTCAATATTCCCTATTTAACTTCCTTCTGTGTATCTTATGTGAATTATTCATTTCTGTGTACTGTACGTAAGACAATTTTATCCAAATACATTTCACACATCAGTTTCAAATCTGAAAAAAACACAGTACAACACAATAAAACTAATTTAATTCTTAAAAGAAACAAACTGCTTCAATTTAAGAATCTATTTTAGTACAATCAGAGCAATTCTACCCCTTGAAATCACAGTTACATGCTTTTACAGTACACTTTTGCATTTCATATTTCTTCCAGGCTTAAAAATACTCAGTTTAAGCAATGCCTTCACAAGGCTTTCAATCAGACACCGCTTGTAGTGAAAATGTAGCTTTGCTATGCAAATTTCTCAAGGTGAGTGATATACAGCTCAGGTCAGGATTCCTGACACATTTCTAAGAATAGCACAGTGCTGCTCTTGCAAAAGCACTGCAGTTTGACAGATGGTGACCTGAGGACTGCAGTGCCCACGCCTGCTGACTGGGCATCACCCTTCACTGACCTGCCCAGTGAAGGAGACTCCCTCCTGCGATTTGATGAAGTCACCGTACACCTGGTTGGCCCGGACGATCACCGTGGCCACCGCCTCCTGGTACTGTGGGGAGGAAGTGGCCAGCAGGGGCAGGGCAGCTAGCGGAATATGGTCCTGGCTGTTGGACAGACATCCCTCGTCATAGCTGTAGGGACTCAGGCTGCCGAGCACAAACAGAGCGCAGAAAACTTAGTGGTCGTCTTCTTTTTACACAACCTACATTTCTGTGTAAATGTACATCATTTAATGTTCTTTTGTAGATATTTTAAATATTAATGACATGCTGTTGTTTGTGGGGAGTGGGGGTAAAACCACAGTTAAAGCAGTGTTGCAGTGATGTGTAATCTCCTTATATTTTGTGGAAATTACTTCAGCACAAAAGGAGATGTGTTCAGGCACAAAAGCATTAAGATATAAAAATGGACACAGGTTTAAAAAAACATTTTGTTGTAGACAATATTATAGTGGTGTTTCATGTGAGGAGAGGACATAACCTTTGGCCATTAGCTGGAAAGATTTTCCTTACAAAATACCAAACCGGCTGTGGGCTGACTGTCAGCAGTGCCTTCAGCATACATCTCGGCTGACCGCCATGGCGGTTTACCCCCGTGGACTCACTTGGACACCAGAGAGAAGGCCTCGGTGCAGATGGCGGGGCAGGGCACCAGGCGGATGGCGATGCGGCCGAGAGCCGCCGGGTAGTGCACCCGCATCACCGTCTCGAAGGCCGTGGTGATGGTGTTGACGTCGCCCTGCTTGCTGCTCTGGTCTCCGCCGCCGGTGTCCAGGATGTTCCCCCCGTGCAGGACCAGGATGAGGACGTGGATCTTGCTGGGCTGCTGGGACTGCTGGGTGGAGCCGTCCTGGAAAGGATCCAGGGAGGTGGCTGTAGCCCGTGTGCGTCACAGGACCTCAGGAGCTTCACCCATGCTCCGAAGCCTGAACTAAACCAAACCCCACCATGCCTTCCCTCCATGCAGAGAGCTTCCATGGCTCAAACATCCGGACGTAAAGCAAGGAACATGTGAGTAAAACAAGCGCCAGGAGGATCAGACTATTACATTGAATTGGAAATCGTTTCCTAGAAGAAACGGCAGTAGAACGAGACACTGTGAAACAAAACAACAAAACACCCTCCTCAGAGCATGCAGGCAGAGTTGGGTATTTCAGATGAACCAACCTGTGCTTAAAAAGACAGGAACATTTTTTTTCAGTGTAATATTTCAGTGTAATATGCCTGCTACTGTACAGCCACTGAATAGCACTGATTGCAATCTTTTGCAATCGAAGATAAAGGAAAATGTAGCAGACAGCATTATTATTATTATTATTATTATTATTATTATTATTATTATTATTCAAGTGGCGTTCAGTCTTAGAGTAAGTGTCAGATTTAACGGCTGTAATGAGAACCTCAGAACACAAATAAACGTGTTCAGCTGTGGACCGTGTCACCCTACACCATCTGTGAATATTCAAACAGGGTCTAAGGTGGTCGGGGATTTTGCCAGCCTCTAATCAGTCCTGTGCCTCCCAGTCCCTGAGGAAAGTAATAGTGGGCTGCAGGCTAAAAATAGCAGCCTTCTGCTCAGGGTAGTGCATGAATAAAGTTTCAGTAGCCGCTGATAAAGAGGGCACAGGCTTATCTAATCTCTGCATGGAGGGAGAAACTGAAACAGAGACAACAAAAAGCATGTCTCAAATATTAGCATAGATTAGGGTTCCAGCTAATTCTAGCTGAAGCAATCTGTTTGGAGCAATAAAATGCACCATTGTATCACATTTTCACAAATGAGCTGCCTAACACTATTAGTGCACAAGGTATGGTTAACTGTTCTGCACATTTCATTGATAAAAGGGCCTCATCATAACTGGCGTATTGTGTTCCTGCTATAGGGAAGCTCCTTTTAAGTAATTTGCTTGTCTTTAAATTTATTGCAGCTCTTTATTTTCTGTGTTTATTTTTATGTTACATCATCTTAAATTTGCCATGTGTTTCTTGGTTAAAAACACTAAAGGTCTATGACTTATGAAATAAGGCGAGCTGCTTTTCACTTACATCTCAGCAGCTGAGTGTTCTGCTTCATGTACCTCAGTCAGCGTTTACAGGCAATGCTGATCACTAATCCCAGAGCCTGTCTGAGCTGCATTTCAGCCCTGCAGTTTCACAGCTCAGCCTAGCTGGATGCTTAACCGTTTCAGTATGAGACATGCAGACCAATATTCTTGGCAACAGAACGGAGATGTATGTACAGGGTACAGTACAGTAACCTCAAGTACAATACATAATGTCATTACTGTTAATAATAATCCTAAACTTGGAAGACAATAAACTTATTTTTCTTATTTGGAGTATTAGTGAAGACTCTACAACTACTAATAGCCATTTAAAGCAAAGAAGGAACTTAAACGCTGAAATGAACGAATACTATTTCTAGTATTCACATATTTAGTTCATCACATTATCTGCAGTTAAATGTAAAGGAAATGTTTTGAATTTATTAATTTTAATTTAATGTTGCAGTGACAAAGTTCCATCCATTTTCACTTAGTGCTTTTCCTGGAGGGGAACATGGCATAATGCCAAAATCATTTCCAAAACCATTGTCAGATGTCAAGCTGAAACTCTTCTAGGAGTTTCTCTTCTAGGAGCTAGAGTCCTAGCTGCATAGTTAAATATCTAAAATGATCACGGAAAACATCCTAACATAGCAGAAAAATGTTTCATGACTTTTAAAGAATTACTTGTTTGAAGAGCGACTGATTTCCACCTGATAACTCTGTACAAACACCAGATGCCTGAAACAGATGCTTACAAGCTGTGTCACGGTGCAGCAATCAAATGTGTCCCCTCTCAGGATATTTAACCAGACCACTAATTTGATCAACTGTTGATTAAATAAAAAATTAAGCTTTAAAATCTTCTCACACAGACTCCAAACATTTGGGATATCCTATTTATGTTGGACAGCAACATTTTAAAGGATACACTGAGTTTGATTATTACCTAAATGCTCTTCTTTGTTTTTAGCTGTTCCTCATCTTTCTGACTTTTCACATAGTTCACACATGTCCAAAAGACTCTGAACGCTTCTACATACTCTAGTCTAGCACAAGTGGGGGTTCTCTGTCCAATTCTAATGCTCTAGCAGGGTTAGTCTATAATCTAATCTCTAAGCCACACAAACCACAAGTGCAGGAGCTCTTTATTTTTTACTTACTGCCGTCACTCTTGTCACTGTAATGGTAGGGAGGGCAGAACTATCGTTGGTACCTTTAACAGAGGTTTGAATCTGTACACAACAGTACAGGTTAAGATGGAGATTGCAAAGCAAAAAAAATCACTCAGTCCTCTCTATCTCAAGCAGCCCTGGGTGCTAGTTAGCAACAGGACTGTTTGGCCCAGCTAATCAACCTGTGCAATAACTTATTAACCATGCAGCTATAGTTGCAGCCATATAATGCATTAAACATGCCTGAATAGAGCCACTCTCATCTCCATGTAATGAGCTGCAGACAGAGCAGATCTTGGAACAGTTTTGAATGCTAAAAAGCAGAAATACATTAAAATATGTGAATAGAATACAAGAGTAAAAATGATCTGCAGGAAGCTGTGTTTTTGAGGTAACTAGTACCATAGCTAAACAACTGTAATTGAATTTGATTTGCATCCATTAGGTTCCATTAAGCATTAGTTCTTGTGTGACAGGTACAGTATAGGACAGCCATGTACCTCAATCATGCTGAGTCTTTCCACACTTGAAGTGACATTGTAGCACACTGAGGTGTCCTGGTAAAGATCTCCTGAAAATAAAGAGAACTGAATCAGATTCAAGGGAATATAGGAAGAACGCCCCAGGTATCAGTAAAATGCCCAGTGCAATATGTTTTTGGCCATTCACTATTATCGCTGACTTTATTTCTGATTTTCTTGAAAGTTTCATGAAAAGCCTACAGGTTTCTGGGTTTATTTGCAGAGTAAGATAGAGCATCTCAGTTAACAAAATAATCTCAAATTTAACATAACACTTAGATCACTTCTACTTAGATCTGCATAACTATCACCATAATTTGGACAAACTAAAACGAGTTTGGTTGCTTAGACTGGTATGAACAACTGTGTTCTGTAACCTGTCCCGCCTTAATTGAGTGTATGATATCAATCACAGGACCTTTTAGTAAGACACATGAAAAAATACACTCTTATTAAACTCCATTAAGATGACAACGCACATAGTCTCTATCACATGCAGTCAACTATAAGGGTTAAGCCACATTGTTCTTTTAAGGTTAATCCTATTAACAAAGGCTCAGGAATTTACAAGAGGGTAAGGTTCAATGACACTGAGTCAACAGAATAACCAACCCTTAAAGGCAGGAGCAGGAAAGAATAGCACTTCATTATCCATTGTGTAAGCTTTTTGCTTATGTATCTGCCTTCACATAAAACAGAACTTCGTACTTTGATCATCGTTTGTTGATCCAACTCGTGACTCCTGAAAATTAAATGACGCTCCAAGGACAGATTCACCAAAATGTCACACAGCAGAAAACAAGCAGACCAACTGTCAATAATCAATGCACTGAACTTTAAAAGCACGGGATTTTTCTAACTCGATTTTTGTTTCAGTTAAGGTCTGTGCATCGCGCAGAGTATTCTTCTTTGATAAAACCTGCATCCAAATGTGAAATCGGTTCACAAACTCACCTTCAGCGATTTCTACGTTCAACACTAAGGCAACATGGGATTTTGTGTTCAGCTTGACTAACTCTCCCGAGGGGAGAAGCCTTCAATGTGCTTTTAAAAACCAGTTATTTACCTGATGCAAGCATAAATCTAGACTGACCTGGAAAAATACAAGCAGACTTGCATAACCTATTAGCAGTTCACGCAAGAGCCTAAGGCTCTTTTCAGTCACAAAAAGAGCAAGAGCACCTTTCAAGGCTTTTAAATTTACTCCCGCTGATATGCCTACCCTGGACCTCATCTGTGTCTGTGTTCTCTATCTTATCCATCAGGTCATTGGAACTCCACTTGGTGATCTCTTTTGAAAAGATCTCCTCGTTGTCTGACAGGTCCTCTGTGGAAAAGGATACAAAGATAATGTTAATGTTGAATTTCCCTACAAGGCGGAGAAACAGGATATAAAGGGGACAATTAAAACTGGAAACGTAGGCTTGCATCTTTCTCATTAAATTATTGCCATAACGGTGATGAGTTGTTATTATTATCACTCTCATCTTGGGATCACAAGTCACAGTTCCAACGTGCTGCTGCGATTTGATTGGCCCAGGCGGCAGTCGTTACCAGGCCAAAAACACCCTGCGCCAAAGAGAGCTGGCGCTCTTGCTCTCTGCGCCTCGGTGGGTGCTGCAGCGTTGGCAGGATGGGTGCGTACTCTGGCATCCCGCACAACACCATCCTTTTCTTGGATGGTGGCTAGGCCGGGGGAGCCGCTCACCGTGTGCGTCGAAGAACTCGTCGTCCGAGCTGTCCTCCGAGTCCCGCGCGATGCTCTGCATCCTCCACTCTGATATGCTGTGACGAGAGGGGCTCCCTGCCACCCGGGAGAGGAAAACAAAGCGGGCCTTTAGCGTGGCGCTGCCGGAAAAGCGCCAGAGCTTTGCTGGCTCTCCTGCGGGGATCCTAAGTGGATGCACTGTAGTGCTGAGATGACGAGGCCTGGCTGAAAGCCGGGAGGAATTGAAGGCTTGGTGTGAAGTTAAAGCTGCCGTGCTTTCCCAAGCTGGGGTGACTGAAAAAGCAGCAGTCCTGTGGCCCTGATGCCGGCCTGCCGCAGAGCCTGTTAACTCTGCTGTGGGGATCTGAAGAACTACCTTGTTTTCTTGTAAATAACTCCTTCCACTTACAGTATGGAGCTCTTTTCTGAACACTCTGCTTTACAGTGCTTGGGGACTCCCCTCCACCACCACAAAGGGTGCTCTAAATTAGAGCAAATAGGGGAGATAAACAATAAAAAAAGTGTGGTGTGATTAGAGACAGACAGATCTCTTGGGGCTTACTTTGCCTCCAAACACAGCCAAAACGTCCTTTGCCACTGTATTATAAGTGATGTTCAGTCTGGTTACAAATGCTATATAACTTGATCTGTCCTGTGATATTTGTATAGGGAATGCCTTATATATTACAGCACCATAAATCTAAGACATTTAACCCATTTTAAAACAAATGAGACAAGCTGTATGGAGTAACTTTATACTTGAGGGGTCAGTGTTATAACATCCCTCAGAAAAAAAACACCACAGAGGAAGAAACCTCATGTTCGAAGATGTCAAAGATCTGCAAAACATAGGCTATTGCAGACAGGAGAACGCTTTTGACAGCCAGAGACAGCACATTTTTCGCAACAAAAAGTTAAAATAAGATTATCAGTCTGACAAAAATCACATGATAAATGCAATAATCCATGAAACTGATAATGTTTGTAACTGGATTGAGAAACAGAGGGTCATTTAAAATACTGGGATTATTACTGCAATCCCACACCATGAATGAGTGCATAGTTTATGACACAGTTGAATATGCTAGTATTCCTAATCAAAATGTAATCTGACTCCTTCAATCAGCAAAAGCACAATGCCGTACTAAATCCAACAAAATTTTGCTCGTGCCTTTATTTTGCGAAATGTGCAGAACAAGGCCCCGATAAACAATTTCACCAGGACTGTAACCACTACTGCTAGAAAAAAAACGTTTATAGAACATATTCTGGCTGTTTGAATGTCACAAGCGTTCGGTGCCATTTTGTCCTCAGAAAGCAGTGCCAGGAGGTGGGATTTCACAGTTTCTGGCCCCGGGGCAGACCTGATCTGGGAAACGGGAAGCAGGCCACCCACTGCAAGCTGTTTTCTGAGCGTGTCCTATTTGTGTACAGCAGGGGCTAAGCTTCAAGCTCCCTCCTTCCTTCCTGCTTCGTCGAGAGAGAGAGAGGCTAATTGCAGCGCGGTCTCGGCTCGCCTGCTCCCCTCCTCAATCACCCCAGCCCCCTTCGGAATGCGGCGGGCACGACAGCGGCGCGTTTCCCCGGCGCTGACGTCAGCGCCGCCAGGCTAATAGTTTCTATAAATACAGAGGGAAGTGCGGCCCAGCCCAGATGGTGACAGCATTCTCACTTTGCTCGGGAGGTCACTCGCAGGGAGCGCGGCTGATAAAACTGTCAGCGTGAAAAGTAACCTCAAGAGAGGCAGCTGTCACGACACCACGCAGGGGCGAGGCAAATAAATACGGTGCCCCAGGGCAGCGCCACGTCACTTCATCCAGGTGACAGCAGGCGCAGAGGCTCCTCCCCTGGTGTGGCCTCTGTATGTTTTTTTTTTTACTTGCTATTTTTTTTTAAACCAGGAACATAGGAATCAAAAATGTCTTTTTGTCAGTTTAAGAGTTACCGGTATGACCTCTGCAAGCAAACTTATCAAAGGTGTTAGCCACTTCCTGAATGTCTTGTCATGGCCGGCTTAGCTACAGTTTCAGCGGGGACACTTGATAAGTATTATCTTGTTCCTCTAAAAACAACGAAGTATTAAATTAAACTGCCCCTAGGCAAAGCTTTCAGTCAGTATGTTTTAATTAACTTAGCTACAAATGCAGAGGGCTCTGCAGGAGGACTAGACCTATGTATATCAGAGGCCCGCCATCTGTCCGGAATACAGGCTCTCAGCACCCCTGTGCTACACTGTCCCCACATGCAGGAGGTCTATCAGCATCAGCCTGCCGGTATTACTCTGAGTCCCGGAGCATGGCAGCACGATTGCCTAGAGAAAGCAGTAACGATTCTCTTTCTTTACCTTCTACACCTCCTCACTGCACAGACAGACTGAGTCTGACCTTGAAGGCCATTGTCCTGCATTTGGGGGTCTGCTGTGCTAAAGAAGCCTGTACCCCAAAATGCTACTGCTAGATGTTCTAATGCAAGGGGAAAAATCAAGGGAAAGAACGAAAATCATCATTGCTAACAAGTTTACCAAATTGTCCACAGCGTTCTAAATAAGGTTAAATAATGCAATGCACAATTAGAATGTAACATCCTTTGATTTAAATTCCACACTTTTCGCTATGCAGTATATCGTAACATTATGGTTTCATTTTTTCTAAAATGTTGTTAAAAATAAAATGATGTGTCAACAAAAACCCATAAGCCTTTCTGATGGAGAGAGCAGCTCTCCATAGCTAGCGCTCGCGGTGACATGAGGGTCGTATGTTCAAGTCCCAGGTGGGGTGCTGCTCTTGTAGCTACCTTTGAGCAAGGAATTTCACTATGGCTGCTCCAGGGATGTTGTGGAAATTGGTGCCCTCTGGTTTGTCTTTCCAAATTTTGGTGGACAAGTAGGAGGCACTCTTAACTCTGGACCACAACTGGACAAAACAATCTCCTGTACAAGGACAGTGGACACTGTTCTGAAGGAGTTGACATACTTCCTAAGAGGTCAACTAAACCTTTTTTTGCCATTTTTTGCCATTTAACCATTAATAAGGGCAAGAGCATTAACACTAGTGTCTGTCTGAATTCCACCATGGACTGGCATGCTTGTCTCTTTCAACAGTATTTCCCCCCTTAATTAAACTCCCTTCTGCACCTGTTTGACGGCTGATGTGGCTCCCTCTTAAATCTGAAGCCCTTTGGGATATTTTGGATGAAACATGTTATATACACTTCAATGAGAATTGTTCAGAATTGACCTACCTTATGACTAAACTTAAAAAGTAACTAAAAGAATGAAAGCACAACTTTTTACATTTTGTATTTGTACCTGCTACCTGCATGTTACACTCTTTACATGTCTACATTAAATGCCATCTGCCTGTGTTTGCCCAGTCTTCAAGACTCTCTGAGCTTTTCTCCAAGTCTTTTTCTTCTTCTCCACTGTTCTTTAATCACTCTTTGCCCATTCTCATGAAAAAGCACTTCACTGACTGTACAAGGATCTAATCTCTTGATAGAAATCAGAGAAGACAAGCCATGGTCCTAACACAGACCCCTGAGGTACTCCACGGAATTGACAGCCAATATAACTGAAGCAGCCTGAGCGAGAGAAAGGAAACGAAGATAAAGTGGCCCTCAGAGCCCCGACGGAGCTCACCTCCTCTCTTGGACGAGCGGGAGGACTTGGAAGAAGTGGACCACTGTTTGGTCAGCCCGCCTCTGGTCTGCAGGGAGTCAGCCATGTCGCTGGGCGGCTCCTCGGCCTCGATGGAAGAGATGGCCTTGGCCTCCTGGTCCTTGTCTCCCGGGGAGGCAGCCGCCCCGTTCTGCTCGCCCTCCTCGCTGCAGCTGAACTGCGCCATCTTCTGGGCCAGCATCAACTGCGTCTCGTGCTCCAGCTGGCGGATGTCCTCGATCGTCAGGCCATACCACTCGTCCTGCCAGCACCAGGCCTGGCGGTGGGCCCTCACCATCACCTTCCGCAGGCCTGCAGGGGGCGACGAGGAGAACTGGCGTCACTGGAGGCGGAGGTTGAAACACCCGGCTGTCGGACGTCGAAGGGGCCCGGGAGCCAATACAATGAGCATCTTCAGTTTCAAATGGCACATCAAAGTCAATTTTTTAACTAAATTAACTATGCAAAACTCCAACTTGTGAGTGTGTTTAAGCTCATTATCATTTACCAGACAGTTACCCGTAAACTTCAATCTTCCAAATCTGTGACGATTCCATCACACCAGTGCAGCATCGGGCTAAAACGTCTCCCATTTTCTGGTACAGTAGTCCTTTATCTGCAAATAAGCCTGAATACTAAGCCTGATTTCCTTCTTGAAAGCAGACGTGATTTCTTAATTCACATCACCACTGAGCGATGACGCAAGATGATTACTGACACAGCGGCTAGGGCTATGAAGCTGACATCTGTGGGCCTGAGCCGCGCACCACGCCAAACTGGCATGCCCATCGGTCATGTGCCCATGACAGCTCTGCTTTAAATGTCTGCCACACTGACATTCTCAGACAGTTTTTCAGTTCTACATGACACAAAATAAATGGGCTGCTAGCCACAGCAGACTAATGTGTGAATTATTGGGTGCAGCAACCATAACACTGGGCTGAACAGTTCCCAAACTGTGCTCCTTCACCTTTTACAAAAATAACGAAGAACACTCATTGATTTTCAGTCCTCCTACTGGACTGACATGGAAGGATTAAGAACTGAAGAACAATGAAGCACAACAGAAGCACACTCTTTCTGGCCAGGGGTGAGTAACTCCACCATTTGCGGCTGGAGTGATACCGAAGGGATGTCATCATTTTTAGTGTGCCCTCATACCAAAGACAAGGAATATGCCATTTGGGATAACAGAACCTCAGTGGAAAGCAATTATATTGAGCTATAAGTGAGTATATCTTGTGTTATTACACGTTTTACTCTAAAAAAATCCTAAAGCAACTGCAATTAGGAGAAAACGGTAGACAGAAATGTCAGCAACTCAGCAGCCTGTGCATGAAGCTCTTTCAAATCTGTCTGTTGATATTTCTGTGCTCTTTCCTTAGCCAATTTTGCAGCGTTTAAGACCAGATTAATTTTAAAGGGCAAAATGCTAAAGAATACATCAGCCTGGCTGAACTGATGATGGGAAATAAACTCAAGAGACATGTTAGCTTAGTGCCATGGTTTCTTCTGAAAACATACCCTCTCTGCATTTCATACCTCTTAATGCCACCACTGTGGCAGGTCTGGGGACCCAGGGTTTTGTATAAAGAGAAGATGATGAGTTAACTGTACTGCCAACATATATATATATATGTTTTTTAGACCTGCCAAAATGCATGCTGTGTACAAAAAGGCATCAAAGTGTTGCAGGCAGTCTGCTACAAAATCTACACAGAGACTGGCATTTTTGCACGCTTTTATATTAGTGCTCTATTTTGAGAAATGACGTAAGCAGTCGTGCATAACTCCAGCCCTAGCACAAAATGAATTGAGCACACCATAATTATTTTCAGCAACTGTGGGGATCTAGCTGTCTTAAACAGATATACAGAGATGCTCTGAAATCAAAAGTGCAGCAGCTGGGAATGACATAAAGGCCATGATAAAAGACAGGCTATACAACACAAAAAAGTTAAAATTAGTAACTGACAATGAGCCAGAAAAAGGAAATGAACTCAGAATGCAGTCACTGGGGCTATGATTTTGTAGTGTGGTTTTGCATAGATAAAACACCTTCAATAGGTTCTCATTTAAAGCAAGTTAATTATTAAGGAGATAGTCACACGGCTTCTAGACTTCTAAGCGTCCAGATTTTTAGAAAACTAGCTGACACCTGGTATCCACCTACACACTGCGATAAGAACACCACTTAGGCCTAAAATAAACCAAGAATATGTCTTGAATGGAAATCAAGCTGATGATAGGAATTAGTGCCTGCAATTCTCTGTTTATATAACTATAATCAAAGCTGTGTTTTCCCCCTCCTCAACAGCCCTGACATTTGAAAGCGCTCGGCAGGCGAGGAGGAGGGAAAGTTTAAAATAGGAAATGCAAATCTGAGAGGAGGAGGAGGAAGAGGAGATGGATCATATGCTGCAGAGGGACTTAAGTTTTCTGAGATTCTGAGATTTTCACAGAAAATGGAAAGCAGTAACTGCACTGTCTGGACACCTGATTTATGTTTGTTCTGGGCGCTGTTTAGAAAAGACAGGCAGAAGGTTTGCCTGACTCTCGGAGAACTATTTTCCCTTCATATGTCACCTTGTGAATGCTTTGGTCCAGGTTCCATTCACTTACTCACAACTGAGACATGGAGAGTGCTTTTAGATCTGTGTGTGTCAGAAAAGGCATTGTACACAGGCACACACAGCAAGAGCCACTCATTGACTGGTGAATACAGGAACCCCTACCGATACCTTAATTGAGTCTGGGCAAGTGAATTTTTATACCACTTTTAATTCTGCCACAATTTCTGCCTGAGGCTATAAATTCTACAGAAACGCATCCCAGGACTCACTCCATTCAAATAATCAGTTTAGATAAATGCTCCTCATACAGTAGGCTCCCAAGTGCTTTTAAGTGCGCTTTAAGGATTAGTTCAGGTAATAGAAGGGAGAAGACAGGGTTTAAAGACCTTTACAAAAAACAACAGATTAATGGAGTGAAGCAGTCTCTTCAGTCAGTAA